CCCTCTTGTTCTAAAACACTTATCACCATGTGTGGGACACAGACTGTTATTGTGCTTCCCAAAGTTAATTTCTGAGCTTCCTGTATGAGCATCACTGTTGCAGCCACAGCTCGAAGGCAGTTTGGCCACCCTTTACTCACTGTGTCAAGTTGTTTAGAGAAGTATCCGACAGGTCGTTTCCAGCTTCCCATCTTCTGAGTCAGCACACCTAGTGCCAGGCGTTGTGTTTCGTGAACAAACAGATCAAAGTCTTTGGTTATGTCCAGAAGTCCTAAGGCAGGTGCAGACATTAAAGCATTTAAATTCTGTGACAGCCCGTTGTTGCTGTGGGCCCCATATAAAAGGAGAGTTCTTTTGGGCCTCATATAGCAGTTTAGCTATTAGACCATAATTCATGATCCAGAGGTGGCACCACCCTGTCATCCCTAAGAATACTCAGAGTTCATAAATATTTTTCGGCTCACATGGCTTCTCAGTGTTCTATTCCTAATTGTCGCTGCCCTTTTGAAATCTTAAAGTCCAAATATATCACAGTCTGACATGCTATTTGGGCTTTTTTTTTTTTTTTCCCCCTTGGGTACCTTGTACCCATTCAGTGCCAGAAAATTAAAAAGATCTATTGTTATCTGTATGTAGGTAAATCTCTCTTCTGTAGCAATCAGTGTGTCATCCACATATTGTAAAAGCAAATGTCCACGTTTTGGTTTGTCCTGTTTCCGTGTTTTAAGCTTCTTTGCCAGCTGATTTCCAAAAATTATCGGGCTATTTTTAAATCCTTGAGGTAGTCTTGTCCATATCAGCTGCATCTTTGTCCTGTTTGTGGATTTTCCCACTCAAAAGCAAACAATTTTCTGTTTTTCATCTCCAAGTAATACAAAAGAAAGCATCTTTTAAATCATGCACTGTAAACCACTAATAAGTCTCCTTTAAAGCTGTTAACTGCGTGTTAAGGATTTGCTGCTACAGGATATATATACCTTTAACTATTTGATTCACTGCTCTCAAGTCCTGCACTAACCTATATTCACCCGATGGTTTTTCTGACTGGTAGAATGAGAGTTTTTATACTCAGATTCACACTCCTCCAAGATTTTACACTTCAAAATTGTATCAATCAGTTTCTTATATCTGGTACGGATTGTTCTATAAAGATCAAAGACAATTATATATGAGCTGTCTCCGTTTCTACTCTCAAATCAGTATTTATTTTTTCTGGCAGCTTCTTTTAGTCTTTCCAGAAATGCTGAGGGAGATTCATTCTTATCTTGTCTCACCTCATACAATTTAGACCATTTCAGCAACCTAGGTATGGCATGTTTAACTCCATATAAAATCCATTTCTGATACTGACTCGGTCTTTCTCTGTGTTCCACATTATTTGGATCCCCAGATGGAAAATTCTGCTCTAATATTCCACCTGTTGTCCCACTTAAGATGGTTACTTCTGCCTGTGCTTTGCCAGCCTATTTAATACCATCTGTTTTTCTGTATCATCTAACAAATTAGCTAAAATCACCTGGAAATTACTCCAATCCGTATTCTGTGTTCTGATGATAGTATCTACTACTCTGCCTGTTCTCTCAGGATCCTCTCTATACACTCCTGATGCCTGCTTCCAAGCCATCAAATCCATCACTGAAAAAGGCAATTTTACATACACGAGCCCATCACTGTCAGCTCCCTGCCGCAGGGGAGCTATTGTTTGTACCTGCTGCTGAGTTCTTTCGAGAAACAGGGGTATGAATTACAACCTCAGATGGCCCTTCATCCACATCCTCTATTCCACTACTCTCAGGTTCCTCTACCTGTTCTCTATATTCTCACCCCCGATGTCATTCTCTCTGTGGAGGGGGTGTATCTAATTCTGGCCCTTCATCCTTTTCAGTAGAAGCAATTCTTTCCTTTAAACAATCTTTTCCAAGCTCACATGTTGAACAACAGTTTTTCACCTTTTTATCGTCAGAAGTTATAGCCATTACTAAATTATCCCTACTAATCAACTTACATTCCTTCTGCCAAACCTTCCTTTGTCTAAGTAGAAAAATAAATCAACATATGGCACTTCATTTCCCTTCTCTTCTACAAAACAGCATTAACTGCAAAATGGTATTATAATTCAGTGTCTCATTCATGGGCCATTTTTCCTGATCATCCAAAGTATACAGAGGCCACCAGTGATTACAATATTCAGTCATCTGGCAAATCATCATGCAAATCTCCCCAGTGTGCTAACAAATGTCCTAACAGAGAAGTTCTTAGAACTTTATTTGCAGCCAGATTACACATACTTTTACTTTTAAACAAATGAGTCAGCTTAGATGCCATGGTTCAGTTACTTTGTAACACAATATACAATCACTCAGGCTTTCCGCTTCATTCTTTTCCAGCTGCACCCCTCGTGCGATAACAGAACCGTGGATCTGAACTCCGCACTCACTTCGTGCTCAATTGCACGTCTCACGCTTACAAACACACTTATACCTTTCCACAATTATTACCATAAATAAAGGTGTATCACACAATATAACACAGTTCTTAATTACTACACAATATTCAATCGAGGAAATAAAGAGTACCACAATAAAGTGCATTAAAAACTTCTAACTTTTCGTTAGAGGCACTACCTTTGAGAACACTATAGCATATATGTTCCCTTGTCTACGCTGTTGTCCAACCCTGCAATAGCTTTCGCTTATGTCTTACAGGCAGATGCCTAGGCTTACACTTTACACTAGGATCCTTTGGTCCAACCCTGCACAGCTTTCGCCACGTCTGAACAGGCAGACTTACGCTATTACATTTAGTCCAACCCTGTGCAGCTTTCGCTGTGTCTGACAGGCAGACTTACACAGTGGGACTCTAACCCACTTTCCCAATACCAAACCAATTTTCCAAACCAGTTTTCATGGGTGGGACTTTAACCCACTTTCCAATACAAAACCAGTACAAAAGAGAAGTGTCTTACCAAAATCCAGGGGACATCCTGAAGAGCCTTAAGGATTGGGGATTGATGGGTATCCCCGAGAAATCCTCGGTGCCAGCTGGAACTGATCAGGTCCCCGACTCCTCCAGTTTCTCTCAGCGAGGTCCCATCTGGGTCACCAGAAACTGTCACCGAAATCCGGGATAAAATAACTTATTGACACCAATTTGATGCAGATAAGCAGACACTTCTTTATTGATGGCCGGACGTCTAAGGGAGTGCTCTCATCAGCACGTGCCAGGCACCAGAATCATACACCTTATATAGAACTTATATATTTATTAAGTCTTCATACATAAGCATACAAGTTCCAAGAAATCATTAACATATTCTCCTCCTATTTCCGATTCTGCGCAGTAAAGGTTAGAAATGTCTAGAAATGGTCTGGGGTGTAATGGGAGTAGGTGGTCCATGAGTCGGTGGTCATGATCTCCCCCTGCCGGAATTACCTTTTGCTTAAGGACACAGTTTTCTTGGCAGGTACTTGCAAGCAGTTATGGTCACTTCCCTCAGTTCCCATTAATCCTGGACCTTGACAACTACTTGCATTCTTCTAGTCCTATACATGTATTATAAATCAGATTACAAATCACCTCATGTTTTGCTACCTAGGTTCTAACTGTTCCTACTAAACAATTATGACCAATCCCCTCAGCCTTGGTACGGGGTTGTACAGGGAATTTTAGAGTAGAAGTTGGTTGCTATATTCAACATACAATAAATGTAAAGTGATTTTTACTAAAATATCCCTTAATTTTATACTTATATTAAAATCAAACACAATTTCATTTCAATTGATAATAAAATCAGTAACATTATAGTACAAGGCTTCACTGCTACTCTGGCATTGTATCCATTTCCTTCTACACTGTGACCAATGAAAAAGAGCTTATTGCCAGTGTTGATTTCCTCTTCTTCTATATGCAGATATGACCCCTGAAAGCCATGCTGTAGTTTACTGTTCACAAAGAAGGAGCCAAAGAACATAATCTAATAATGGACACTAACTATTAAAGGATTATTTTACCAGACACATGACAAACGTAATAAACATTATGGCAGATTCACTCTGTACAAAGCATTAATCTAAGTCAGGGTCCTGTCTCCGAGTTTCATGAACGTCCACCCACTAACTTCGTAAAGTAATCAACTACTCCACCACCTTTGGCTGTGGTTCTGCTGATCTTTCCACCACTTGACCTCAATGAAGTAAAAACTGCCGTCTAAGTCTTCAGGCCCTAATTATTTTTCAAACCCTTCTTTTGCTTATCTTTCCTGAACCATTTTGCAAAACGTTTAGTATAGGAAAAGCTTAGTAGATCACAAATCTGGCACCTCATCACCATATCCCTAACTTCTGGTCATTACAACTGAGAAAATGAATGTCCCATACTAGCTTGATCTTCGAAAGTTATCTTCAAGCTTTGAAAGCCACAATACCGCCCAACAGGCAGAAGGCAGAGCAGGCTGCTGTGGATGCCACTGAGGCACAGAAACAAACTCTACAACTCAGAAAGATTTAAAAAGCAGGCATGTTTATTCCGGCCAGGGTGCAAGGGGATTTCTCCACAAAGCTTGCACACCATCTCTGGCAAGTAGCCAGATATTTATTACAACAAAACATACATATTCATTTGGAGGGGCTGGGTTATTACAATTAGTTCGGGGAATAGGTGTGATTGTTAGAATTGTTCAAGGAGAGAAGTATGTGGTCCTCTTCACGGTGTCCTGCTGTTAAGCGAAGTCCAGATGTCTCCTTCCTCTTCATGAACTTTTCAACTTTGCTTCCTGCACATGCTGTCTGGCCCTTTGGTTCCTCTCCAGGTTGTAGTAGGCCTTTTACCTGTTTGTTTTGTTAATTGGAACTTTTGTGTCTGTTAAGATGTCCCAGAAAGTAAGTCCTTTAGCTGGTATGTCTCCCCCTTTACCTCAAAGACAGGGATTAGTCTACTATCTATCCTGTTTTCTGTAAGAATGTTATCTACTTAACATTGCCTGAGGGCTAGCACAACTTTGCTTTCCTCAGATCACCACCGTCTGCAGCCACCCCACCCCACATACCCAGCCAACTCACGCAGCCCTTGTCCCGCAGACGCCCGCGGGGCCCTGCAGGAGGAAAGCGGGCCCCTTAAGCAGAAGGTTGCACGCTGCAAGGCCTAGACAACTCGGTCCCCGGTGGGCGTGAGGAACCAACACTCCCTCCCACCTACCCACGCTCTACCTCCCACGCGACCCTGCTCAGGTCAACTCTACCTCACTGCAGCCGAGAGTAGGACGAAATGGCAGCGTCGGGCGACAAGTGCTTCCGCTTCCGGCGGCCAGATGGTGGCATGGCCCGGCAGCATTTAGGCTGCGCCGGGCGGTAGGAGTCCTAGGTACCCGCGGCGGGCAGGAGGAGAGGGCGACATGTGGCTCCCGCTGCTGCTCTGGCTGCTGGCGGGGCTGCTGTCGGCTGCCTGTTGCGGGAAGGCTGTGGCGGCGGCCCTTTCCCTCCAGAGTGCTGCCACCTCCTCCTCACGGTCCACGGTGGTGACCGGCGGTGGCACCACGCGAAGCAGCAGCAGCCGCCTGGCCGAGGTATCGGCAACGCCTGAGCAGGGCCAGCCCATGACCCAGCGCGCCCTGTCCGTGCTGGTAGTGGCCAGCGCCGCCCTCATCGTTTACTTCGTGATCCGGACCGTGCGGTGAGGGCGGGAGCTCCCGTTGGAGCGCTGCTGCGGGGAACGGGCGGACGGGCGGGCG